AGGTATTCGGCCGAAAAGTAATTCAATGTTCGATATTCGGCCGAATAACAAAAACAAGCCAAATACCGAATTTTCATTGCAACTCTATTGTCTGTCTTTTTTTAAGATGGAGTAAAATGACATTTGTAGGGTTGCCAGTTTTCATAAAATTTTAAATATTTATGTAGTTGTTGTCGATAGTTTTATCGATAGATTGTAAAAGATAAAATTTTGCCAAAAATGACTTATATGTGAATGTTACGACGTTGTAATGATTACTAATTGCGTTATTGCCTTTTTTATTCTTATTTTGACAGTTGGTCTATTAGTATCGAGATCAATTTTATTCATATACATTTTGACAAGAATAGCCGGATTTGATTAACTATATGGAATTAAAATGAAACATGGCATTTTAAAATATGGCCCCTCTTCGAATTTTTTATAAACATAGTTTTAGAACTATGTTTATAAAAAATTATAAGTTTCGAATAAAATTCGAATGTTAGATACATTATATGTATGTATGAACTTACAAAAATTGACAATTCAAATGGACTTGTGCTCAGTAATTGGATGAATGGTCGAGGATGATTCAAATGAAACAAATTCGGTTATTTGTTCCTTAAGCATGACCACTATTCATTCGATAGTCGATATAATATTTATCGACTGCAATCACTAGCTGCTCGCAAGTAGGCATCACTGTTGTGCAATGAATTGTCATTATATCCTGTTTTAAAAAGATACTATAATATGAATACGTAATTACAATAATGTTAATATTGTTGACAGCATCAGCGCCACCCCCAGGCCCGAGCGGCCGGCGAGGCGAACCGTACGCCAACGCGTACCCGCAGTCGTACGAAATGCGGCCCGCGCAAAAGGTCTGACAGTACGAATACGGCGGCGGCAGTGCCGCGGCTCCTGCGGCGGTACCACCCGACGGCGCTCAGTTGGAACTCGTCGCCCTGGCGCCGGGCGTGCCGCTGCTGTTGGGCTACGTGTACCGCACGCCGCACAACGCCGCCGGGGGTGCCGGCGGGGAACAAAAAGTGACTGTGGCTTCGCAAACCACCATCACGCTCCACTCGCCCGAAGCCCTCACGGTCACCCAGCCGCGCAACCGCAAGCCCACATAGTCCCCCTCGAAGATCTTTTGCTCAGTCAATACCTCCCTGATCTGACGCGGCAAGGTGGCCGATTGTATACCCAAATTACATCGGATTTACCTATAAACGTGACACAGTACCTGGTAAGTTGTCATCGGAATTTGGTTTAATACTCCCGATCCGATTTTGGTACACAAACGGTTTATCTCGTGTCTACCGAACACTGGCATCGTCGGTCGTGTAGTTTTAGTTGTCCTTTTCTTTTGTACATTCAAAGTTATTCGGAGGTGTGACGAGAGCGATTGACGTGATATTAAGTCACATTAATGTACATATTGCATCGGTATCAACGTGTGTTGAACTCTCGTGATAAATAAAAAATTGAAAAGGGAGCTCGATTTATTCTCAAAAATTTATTCTCACATTTTATTGTCAAAAACATGATGATTTCCTTTGTTAATTCGTAAGAAATAATAAATTATTTGCTCAATAACGTGAAATGCTATTCGTTTTAATAAATTACCCGAGCTCAAATTTATTCGATCAGCAATCGACGTGGTGTTAGTTAGTTTTATGTAACTTTGTCACCAGTGATACATTTTGAATGTCCAGACGCAAAGTTGTAAAGTCGCTCTTGCAATAAAACATTTATGTATATTTTTGTATATAAATGAAGAGTATACAAAACGATGTAAAAATATCATACGAGTATAGTAAACTCATACCAATAGTAGTGTAACGTAAAATACATTTAACTGCATTGTTTTACTGGAATCTCTAATTGTAATTTTATATGAAATTATTTTATCGTATTATATTGTAAGCGGAATTGTCGAGGTGCCATTATACAGTTTATTATTCCTTTTGTAACCTTCTTCTTACATTTTGAAGAATGTTCTTCGCGTGCGGTCACATATAAATGGGCTCAAGTCGTTTCAAAATTTGCATTTAGTCTTCCCACGAAGAAGAAAGTACTATTACATTCGTTTAATTTTATTTAATAAGTAGAGTATTAAAATTAACAGTATTGCCAAATGATCAAAGTTATTAGACTGAAAACTTCTCAAAGGCACACATTTGACGTGTGTTTATCAAATACGGCTCAAGATGACTGTATGGCAATTCAAATTGAAGGATCACCATCTGTTCTTAACTATTCAATATTTTTCGAAGTTATATTTTGTATGTGATTTCGTATACACGCACATATCCCATACAAAACATTGAAAACAGGCACAGTTTGTCCCGGGTTGCTATGTGTTAGTGTTCCTTCGATGCGAATTCAGCCTGTAACCTCTATTATTTCCTGGTAAACAAGTTGCATATCACATTACCCTCGGTTAATGTACCTATTTTGTTGTATGACTCGGTTGATCTCTTTGATAAGTAATGAGATTTTATTATCAATTACTACGTAGATGTTACTTTCCGTCGTGCAAGCCAAAGAGCATGATGTATTTTTATGATTTTCTATTTTACATTATAATGTTAAGGATCAGTCTTTATGGGCTTTATTATATCCAGCGACGGAGCTGCGGCCAGTTGTCTTTTTAACCGACTTCAAAAAAAGGAGGCGGTTCAATTCACTGTATTTTTTTTGAAGACAATATTCCTCTAAGAGTGGTAAACTAGGAGGTGAATCCGGTTTCGGGCACTTTCCAAAGTAAGAAGTAACCGACTGTTTGCTTTTTAGTTTCAGTTTGTATACAATATAAGCTAATTTTGAAGTCGGTTCCTGTTTTTTTTAATAAAGATTACTTTTCTCATATCTCTTGAAAATATGTAAGAACGAGAAGAATTGCCGCCGCTAGATGATCCCTGAATATAATCGAGCTCTATAAGTATACCATGTTAATGCCATTTTATTAGTGAATGTCGAAACAATACAATCGTTTTCGCAATTGTAATATATTACTGTATATTTGTATGTAAACTGAGAAGTACTGTTTCCCATGTAGAGTGACTTGACCAATCGTGTATTTAGATGGAAAACGTATCTCCATCGCAGTAGTACTCAATGGCATTATTTCTCCTAAGTATAAGCTAGATTACCGTAATAGAATATTTAAATGACAATGTGAATATTTTTAATTAAAACAAAATGAATGTTACAACATGTGATTTCAAAATAATAAAAAAACAATAAATTTTACATGGAATTTGTTGACTTTATTCTGTCCCATCTCTATTTTGAAGATCTCGGTGGCCCAGCGGTTAGTACAGTGGGCGTTAGACGACGCCGACGCTAGCCCACTAGCGCCAGAGTGGTGCAATCAATACTCTGTAGTGTAGGCACTAGAGGGCGCCACACTTAGATTACATACGCTTATATTTTCCCAGTAGCGATCGGAAATTCGGACGCAAATGATGCCATCCGTTTACTTCAATTGCGCCGCGAGCTTCACAGGCTCTTTGGAAGCGTCGCTAGCGGAGCCACCTTAAGGAGATTTTCCACTGGCGAAGGGAGACGAAACGAGAATTGAAATCTCGCCAGCCTATTTCCACCAAAAATTAGCATTAATATCTCGCGCGAGCCATCACGGTTTCGCGCTTTGATTGTGGATAGTGAGGATTCAGCGCTGTTGTTCACCTAGTGATAAATACGGAGCTGAAGTAGCATGATATGTTAACGGAAGAAGAATCAGATGAATCTTTTAAATCTCAAACCGTACATACCCTACAAAACCGTACATACCCCGCGATTGATATTAGTAGTCATCGCGAGACCGTGCGGGCACTCGCGAGAAATCGTGTTTCCGTTGCAGAGTATAATACTCTATGTAGACAGCAATACGGTTAAATTTTACATCAACAAATATTTCAATTCTCACCGCGCCCATCCTCGTCAATTCAGACCATTTCTACCTAGTCGCTTAACACCAGGCGCAAGATTTGTTCATCCTGTCACTTGATATAATAAAAGAAAGAGGTCCCGAGTTCTACCCTGAAGTGACTTACTTGTTAAACTTACTTTATTAAATAGTTGGCTATGATCTTGGCATTGTAGACATTGTCCATGGAGCTTATTGCGTTGCTACGATCCTAATAGCAAAGAGATAGTTTGAAACCAGGAAATCGGTGTGGTTATCTGGCACATTAGGGTGCGTACAGACCTGACAAATGCGCCGCAAGTGCTCCTATTTGCGAAAGGCTCACGAGCTGTAGGGCTAGCACGACATGATGCGACTTACGCGAGAGCGACATAAAGCGCGAGATACTGCTATTCTCGCTTAGAGTCTCTCGTATAGATCCCGCGCTTTAAGTCACTATCGCGCAAGTCTACTAGCCCTACTGCACACGTGCATTACGTATGCACGGTCTGTTCGCGCGCGCATGCGCAACGCACATGCACAGCGTTCGCGGCTCATTCTTCGCCAGATCTGTACCCACGCTACACTTGGATTTTTGTTTTTATTTAATTTTTTTATTCAACTTTATTGAATAAATTTATTTATTTATCTTTTATAGAGTGATTATTCAGGAATGGCAAAACTTTCTATTTCTTTTAAATTTTCTTCCATACCTTTCCAAGATGTGTTCGTAATTAAACATGTGTGTATATATGGAATATTTTATTGGGGAGTAATATATTTTAATTATACAAGGTACAAAAGGTATAGCAAAATTACAATAATAATTGAGATAATGAAGAATAAATTAAAGTTATTGATTATCGATTCAATGTCTTTTGCTTCATTTGGGTTTGTATTATTACGATTACAGCAAAAACAAGATTTCATGTAAATACATACTGAACTACATAGGTGCATAATGTTTCTTATAGTGACGTGTGGACTTTTTATACACATTTTTTCACAAGCTATACAATAGATGCAAAATATTAAAAAAAAAACTGTTTCAGCCTCAAGATTTTTCAAGGAATGATTCAATGTCAAATACGTTTGTGAGAATTTGCCTCTTTTTGCTATTGTAGAAACAGTGTGCCGGTAGATTCAATTTTTTAACGTTACATAATGAAAAAAATAGCCTACATTCTAATTCAATTCCATCGTAATGCAAACTGTCTAAAATCAGTTACTTTAACAGCAAAAATTTCATTTATCTCAGGCGGCACTTACTCTACAGACTCGTAAACAATACATTACTTCCTACAACTAAGATAAAACTCTGATTATGTAACAAAGGTACATAATAGTAAATAAAACCTTAAAGCAGCTTTTTTTAACATTAAAATGCATAAAAATTGTGGATAACGAAAGGAATATTTTGCCAGTCTCATTAAAGCCTGTGTTTAGTGGAATAGTTGCTATATTGACGGTTATTTGCAGAAAGGGCGTCAGCACCGTTTCGAAAAATATTTCTAGGGAACATGTTTTATGCTTTAAAATATTTACGTCATGTTTTAAATTATGTTTATTAAAAATTTTATTTTAAAACAGGACGTAAATATTTTAAAACATAGCGCTACGGCAAAAAACAAAAAACAAAACACAGATTGTTATAATTATAATACAAAGATCGAACGCTCAGCAAAAACACTCAGAAAAAAATCCTTCGATCCGGTCGGATTCGAACCGACGTCTTCTTGCATACCGTGCCAGACGCTATACCAACTAAGCCATGGAACGAACCAACGGACCTCAGCAATTTTTCTATGTGCTTGCGTCGTGTCTTTGTACTTGGTCTTTCAACGACTTTTTAGAAAACACAGATTCTTAAGAAAACTCGTAGGGCCTGCTGGTTAGTTTCGTGGCTTAGTTGGCATAGCGTCTGGCACGATTTGCTAGAAGACGTTGGTAGGAATTCAGCTTGATCGAAGGATTTTTTCTAATTGTTCGGCCTTTGCATTAATAATTATTTTAAAACAGTTGTGAAAACCTAAAATATGCTCCCCTGAAAAATGTTTCGAAATGGCGCTTACGCCCGTACTTCAAACCACCGACGAAATTCAGCTTACAAATCTTGTACTGCAATTTAAAAAATCGTTACCGAAAGTGCGTTGAAACTTCCAAATCGATACAAGTCTTACAAAATCCTTGTTATTTTGTTCCTATATCTACGTCTTTATCAATACTATATTTACGAAATAATTAAGAATGCAACAACAGTTGCTCTTGCTTATGAACTTCGTGATAAGCATTACGTATTAGTACATACGGAAAGCATGACTCCAGTAGATCCATTGTCAAAAACGGTGATTCTTGAACAATCAAATCTAGCAGCAAATATACAGACTCCCGATTTTTTATAGCTTCTTTATCAGTCTCTTGTCCAAGGCGTAATAGAGAAGATGAAGCAAGAGCTAGAAATTCCTTCATACGGTCCTCTATATCGCCCTGACCACAAATCGTAAACAAAGCTCCAAAAATATGATTTATAGCAGCTGCCATACAGTGAATATTGTTGGTATGCGCTTCCAATGATGGTTTGTAAAAAGATGATTCGTTTCTGGCTAATCTTGGTAGGGACACTGCCACAAACACCATTAGTAAACAAACGATAAGATGCTCCTCTTCCTCTTGATCGGCTTTGTGTTGGCGTAACGCCGTCGCCAAAGTAGGTTCTACTTTGCAAGGTAAGCCTGCTGCAGAACACATCTCTGATATGACCCGCATTGGGTCTCCACTCGGCAATTGCTGCTGGAAATCCTTGATCGAACTGATCAAGAAGGGAATTCTGCGCTCCAAAACGTCAAGTAAAGATTCCTGAGCTATTTGACGGAAATTCAAAATAACGCCAATTATCGTCATTCTAAGCAGCACGTTATCCACATTTGTCAATCTTTTAAACTGTTCTCTCATTATTTCTGGTTTATCAAAGTTTGTTCTTAACATTTGAAGTACTTCTTTGTTTTGAATCACTAACTTTTTCAATTCCTGCACTTGGCTGGCAGCATGCCACATCAACGTTTCGCAGAGTAATTTCATGCCGTAAGGACCAATTAATTCAGCAAGAGCCCTGAGTTCATTAATGTCAGAGTACTCCTCGGCATTGAAAGGTATAGTGCCCTCTGCAGACAGGGTCACAAAAGCTTTTTGGTTCATTGAGTAGCAAATGCTACCAGTACTCACTCTTCTGAGTAAAATTTCAGAATACCATTGTGTGTAAAGTGATGCAATAGTTTTTTCACCATGGCTGTCCATATTTTGTGTCTGTTGTAGAAGACAATTGTTGAAAACCCTTGTTATATCAATGTGTACGTAATTTTCAACACTTTGTAATACATTCATATATGCTCGTACACTTACTAACAGTTCTGAGGGCTTCGCAATTTCGCTAGTATCCTGATTAAACATGACCATGCCAACCAATGCTTTAGAGAACCTGGTCTCTAGGTGTTGATGCAAGTATTCTCGAGGGGCAAATGTGTATTCCCAGACATTGACTGTAGTACAATAGTTGATGGCATAGCAAAGTTCTGTTAGAGCCATATGCAATTTATCCATTGTAGTTAACTCTTCTCTGGTTTTTCTGTAACTTTCGGCGCCAGGCTTTACAATCTCTATTGTGTTTTTCTTGTTTTTATCTTTTTTCTTCCTGTTTGCTAGGTGAGCGATTGTTTGCGCACAATGCTTTGGCAGTAACTTGTCGCTCATGGTGCATTGTTCATCACAAATAGTTGTGATTATATTTTTGGCTTCCTTTGCCATTTCGTCCAAGAAAATATTGACAACAGATAGACTTCTTTCCCTGATGTGGTGCCTTTCTTCTGGGCACAATTCATGAGTGCAGTTTTGGAAGTGACTGCAAATTAGCGGGAATGCAATGATGTAACGGTTCTGAGCTGGGAATTCCAAACACATATGAAACTGGCTTTCAAATATCTTACTGTAAAAACAGAACAGAGACAGATCAGATGTTTCCACCATTATTTCATCAAGATTGTCAACCATCTTTGTGTGAAAAACCATCTTATCAATAAACTGTGCTAATTCTCTTTGATCTCCCAGATTCAAAGGCATTTTTGCAACAGATGTGTAAGACTGCAATCTGAACCAATCCAAACGAAAGGCACGAAAATCAAATATTTCATTGTCCTCAACTTGCTTCACATTCAAATTAGCAGCGGTATTGCACAACGAGGATAGTATAATACTTTCATCCTCAGGACAAACCTGCAAGTTCTGTATCATCAGATTAAGAGCAACAGCATCAAATCCAGATAAGTATTGAACATAATATCTTTGCATGACTTGGCTGTACTTGCGAACCAAAGCCCTTAACTCCTCCATATGGAACAAAAGTTCAGGCAGTTGTCTATCAACCAAATCTTCAGTTGATTTGCCTTTAACTTTTTGTGGAGGATTGTCATTATGACGTAACAGCCAAAACACTTCATCTCTTGCATAACACAGACCAATAAAAATCAACAAAGCCTTTGGCCCTAGCAGCCCTGGTTGGTCAGTCAATATAAGACCCAGTTCTTTTAAAGCTGTTCTTAAAAATTTTCGCCTTTCTCTGTGTTTGTATCCTGCCTTTTGAACAGCTTGGTGATAGCAATCTTTCACTTCTGATATTTTCTTTCCATAGCCCTTGAAGCCATCAAAGAAACTTTGTATGTAGGAGTGAATATAAATCACTTCATCACGAAAGAGTGCCAACACCCATCCTGACTGGAGAGCACTGACCCACATTTTGTTGGCATGTTCTTGTTGAAGCATTGGATGGCACACAGCAAAACCAAGTATTACATATCTCTCCAGTGACTCTAGAGACAAGTATTCACAAGACATGGTGTTGGTTTCAGATGGTTTTAGAAGCTGCTGTGGGTTACTCACCAAGCTGAGTTTCTGCTCTGATCTCCAGTGCTCTGCTGTTAGGTTCCTTGCTGGGTATACATGCCACAGTGAATTAAGTGCTGTCTGTAGTACTTTTTCATGTAGCACAAATTCTTCAGAAAGCTTTTTCAGGGGCGCATCATAATCTACTATCATTTGTCCCAAGCGAGGAAAGCTGGGATCAATTTGGTTGTGAACCAATTCATGTGCCGCATTGAAAAGACCCAGGACAGCTTTACGATCTTCAACTCTAGACAGTAATATCATAAGGGCAATATAAGTTGTCACTAAGTCCAAGTAATTCTTAGTCAACTCAAAGTTCAAGGTCAAGTCCAACGTTATGTGACATCCATCCATGATATTAAGGAGTTCGCATACATTGTCCTTGAAGTCGAGGAGATCTACAAATGTGTAGTAATATAATGACAGTGATTTAATAATTTCATTACGTATGTTTGTAATTGCCTGAAGCCCTTTTACATCAAAGTTAGGGAATCTTCTTACGATGTGCTTTATGGAGGACTCCAGGGTCTTGTCTGAGAGGAAAGCTGGTTTGGACTTAGCGTCTCCACAAGCTTTCTTGATGTTGTAGATTCTGGTGAGCATGCCGATGCCGCGGTCGTTTAAAATGATGAGTTTCTCAGCCAGCTTATGCTGGCTGACGTGCACTGATCTTGACATAGTTGACATGATCTCTGAAAATAAGAGTGTATATATAAAAATGCTATATACGACTTCATATATACGTTTAAATAGAGTTACTAACAAAGCTATCATCAACCAACAGGTATATTAAATTGATGAGTCAATTCTCTCTCCCGGTGTGATACTTCCGCTTAGCGTTGGTTCTATACTTATATATATGCTACTTCCTCAACGCCTACACAAGACAACAAAGCTACAATTGACTAATTTGTTTACTACTAGTAATGTTACTATAAGTATCATCAAAAATTTATGAAAATAACATTGTAAACAGAAATGAACCAACATTAGTTACTCAAAAATACATTAAAATACCTTTGGAGTTATACCAGTTTTCTCACACCAAAATTACTTTAACGTTGATTTGTCATGTTATTGTTGGAGGCACGTAACGAAACACTTATAACAATGCAAAAAATATACACAAATTGATTGTTACAATTTTATCACAAGTGTAGAAAACGGATGGGAGTGCCAGCCAAGGTAGGTATGAATGACCGAATGAAATGAACTTATGTTTAATGTATACTCACTCTTCGAAAATTTAATGCACTCTGTGGAATGAATGAACAAATTATGACGAATTACGATGATCGAATGAAGTTAAAATGAATATATAGGGCGGATAGAGATGCGTACTTAATTTATCTCGAGTAAATGAAGTAACGAAATTCATACTGTCTATTTTCGAAAGGTTTCTGCAGTTATATAAAAAACACAAACTGACTACGAAGTCTCGACTTCTAAAGGCCCATTTAGATGGAGAGAGTTTCTCGCACGCTTCGTGACGAAAACTCGTACGC